AATACCTGTCAGTTTGCACATGTGTGTCACAAGGATTAAAAAAGTTATTAAGCCTCGTAGTTGAGATTTAAATCATTTAAAGAGAAATAGCTCTCATATCCCACTTCACATTATATTACCTCCTGGATTTTATGAATCGTATCATTGTCCTCCTTGATATTATTGTAATGATATCACAGAACCGAATGCTTGTTGTAATCTGAATATTTGTTGTAATCTGATAAATCTGATATTGCAATTTAAAATTGTTATCTCATTTGCAACAATATTTTTAAACGTTTGATTAATTTTAAGAAATAATCGATATATCTTTTTTGCGATATGTATGAATACGGAAATCGTTCGTATTGAAAATCGGTTTTTCGCTTATTTATCAATAAGAAGCTCTGATTACTGATTCAGAATTATTGCTATAAAATTCATCCGAAAAAAACAAAGGAACGATCATTGTAACTGAAAGAATAATTAATTCTCCAACATTATCACTGAATAAGCAGTTGTTTCGTTGTCAGATTAAAATTAATAAAAAGTATTAATAAAAATTTTTTTGTTTCTTTTCATTATACTATTTTTGGAGCATTTGATAGTAATTAGTTGGAGAAAAAAAATATTACATAAATACTTATCCTTCCATTATTATTCCTTTCCTTCGATAGGGTCAGTGAAATGTCAGCAAATGAGACAAACTCCTCTAATAAATGTATTTTGTTAGGTAGGAGAGAATTTTCGCTTAGAAATATACGCTAGCCTAACAATGGCCTAATAACAAGTGAATACATTAGGGAGTAATAGACAAAATCATATACACACACTGTGTAATTGAACAAAACAGTGGAAATTTGTAGTTGAAGAAAGAGCTGAAAAGATGTTGGAAAATGATTTGGGTCGGTTTGGAAACAAAATACCGCACAAATTCCTATTTGTTAACGGTGTCATTGTTGTTTTTTTTTTGAATGACAAACTAGAAACAAAAATGTTTAAAAGTGTGGATTGAAGAGAGAACGAATGATTCAGGATGAGAAATTTACACGGGGTCATTGTGGATTGAAGAGAGGACAAATGATACAGGATGAGAAATTACAAGGAGTCATTGTGGATTGAAGAGAGGACGAATGATTCAGGATGAGAAATTTACACGGGGTCATTGTGGATTGAAGAGAGGACAAATGATACAGGATGAGAAATTACACGGGGTCATTGTGGATTGAAGAGAGGACAAATGATACAGGATGAGAAATTACACGGGGTCATTGTGGATTGAAGAGAGGACAAATGATACAGGATGAGAAATTACAAGGGGTCAATAAGAGTGAAGAGAAATGAGTGATCTCTTCTTCATAGAAAACAATTTTTTTTTACAATAATATTAGAAAATTTTATTGGTTTCGATTTAGAAAATGGATTACTGAATTGTAATGTAATTGAATAATATATTTTTGTTTGGGAAATGAATGAATGGAATAATTTGATTCTTTATGCTTGACATCGATTTTTAGCTCGAGGCGTTTTTGTCGAATTTTTTCAATGCAACTGCAAGTTTCCAACTGTGCCAGTATTTTAGCGCAAATTACAAGAATATATATATAACAAGTGAAATTTTGTCTCTTCGAAAATGTTTGGCAAGATTACACGAAATGCTAAATAAACACAGTTTTTTTATTAGTGCAAATGGATTTAAAAAAAAAGCGCTTCAGTTTTCTAACATCGTCGAATTGCTCTCTTAAAAATTCTCATGCTTCTCATATCTGCATCGAAAGATTCGGTAAATCCCGGATATAAACATATAAAAGAAGAATAATTAATTAGCAGAAGAATTAATTATACTCCAAGCATTCGATTTGGCTCATTCAATTCCGAATTTCTATTACTACGCTCATTTTTAATCGGAATGTCACGAATCCCATCTCTCCAAATCATTGTAGTGAAAGAAAAAAAGTAATCAAAACAAAGATCTAATCAAAATTTGCTATATATTTTTCAGGTTAAATTCATAGAGTATTCATAGAGTAACTGCTTCCTATTTCTCTTGTAATCCTTCCGGTTGATTTGAATAAATGGAAAAATATGTATTTAAAAGACAACTCTCGGAAAATCACGAAAATATAATAATTTGAAGAATAGACGTCGATAGATGCCTTAAGTTTTGAATGGAAATTGCGATCTCGATATGATATGATATGATATGACAAATATTCTGTCCCCTTTCTGTTCCATAGCAATTTGTCAATATAACTAACAAATGATACATTTACAAGTTTTATAAACACACAACAAACTGAATTTTCGCATGTGTCGGTGTATGCGTGTGTGGGTGTCCGTGATATCTGTATAAATGTATGTTAGGATTTCCATTATATTTCGGATATGTGTATAACACGTATCATACAACTAGATAGCTTTAAATTGCTTCATTCTAAAATTTAGAATCAAAATGATTAACCAAGAAGCTATTACCTTGTGATGTAACTATAATTCAACAGATAGAATCTGAAAAGATGCAAATAATTGAATGGAAAATGCTTATGCTTTCTTTTATAGTTCTTGTAGTATTTTGTACTTGCAAAAGGTTGTTACTAGCCAAATATAAATTTAAAATGTTAAATATAAATTGTAATAATCTTAAAGCATAACAAATATACAAAATGTTTGGTATAAATCTAAAATAATACTTAGCTAATTGAAATCACTTTTAATAAGATGATTAAGAAGAACTATATTTAACTTATTAAATGCTCAGTGTCAAAAAATTTTTCCTCACTAAGATAGTTTTGGTATTAAATTTTGCAGCAAAGAAAATTTTTGACAGGCAATATCATTTAGAGATGATAATGAAATGCTGGCTGCATGACTGCAAAACATTGACTTTATGAAATAAATTATTTAAAAATACACACATCACTTTGAACCTATAACATTAGTATTAATTAAAAAAATTGCAGCTTTAAAAAAAGTTAAAAACGCCTTTAAGTTAATGAACACAAAATTCCTTATCATTTCATTGTTACTTCATCTATCAATTCCATTAATATCGATGATTAAATTATCAAGAATCCGATAAAATGCTGATAATACAGACAGACCTTTTTCATTGCGAATAATCTTTGAGCGAATTTATTTTTTTTCCGCTGGCATTTTACATGTGGCATTTTCCAGGTTTTTATATTCTCGACATGCAATAGTTAATTATTGAAATCATCCTAGCTAGTCTAATCAAGTAGTCTAAAACTGCTAGTACAGTTTAAGAATCTTTAATGAGAAAATATTCGTAATGTATTCTTAAATATTCGCAAGTGATAACATAATAACTTTTATTACTTCAGAATATAAATGCTCCCTTATTCTAAATTCTTTGTCATCATACAGTTAAATCAATTAATTATCTTCCACAGAATCTATCGTTGGCCATACAATTGACACGATCTCACGGCTAATTTGCATACAGTTTTTTCATATTCATTCATTCATTCGTCGTCATATTTAATGATACTGCGGGTGCTTACAATGACCATTGTCCAGAATTTTTATTTTTTATGATGAGCTAATTGTAAATGTCAGATGTGTCATTTTCTTAATCTATTCCGCTTATCAAAGTTTATCATGTACTTGCAGAAATATTCACATATTAATTATTCTATATGATAAAGTACCATACAGTATACATATATATATATATATATATGTAGCACAAAAAAAGCAAACTTATCCCTTTACTGGTTTCAAAAAATTACAATTCTCAGCAGTAATAGAGTACACTTTCCTTATTGTATAATACAACTTCTACAGGACGCTGCATTTATTTATTCTGTATGCTGTATACTATAAGATGTGCATTGCCTGTTTCCGCATAATATGCATTACTTCTTCTGCCTGCATTACTACTAATCCTTCCACAATATGTCTAATTACTTATTTCCATAACAACGTATTACCTGTTCCGCGATAGTATACATTTGTTCTGGATAAGTATACGTGTAAGAAGTGGTATGCATTTGATGCATACCACTTCTTACACGTATACTATTTCCAAGTACAGTAACCTTCTTTTCAATCTTTTTGTAACTTCTGAAAATAATTTTGAAACGATTTTATGAGTATAAACTTTGAGTAATAAAAAGATCATAGTGTGAAATGTGTGAAGGTGCAAGTATTAGTGAAGTTGTAAAAAGTTGTACAAGCAGTTATCCTCTAACGACTGGTAAAAAAACCTATCTAAAAAATTTTCAGATTTTGAATAAACATCACAAAAACTCCTGAAAGTTCTTGAAAGATTTTGTGCAGCAAAACAAAGAAATAAGAAAGCTGTTTAAAACTTTGGAAATTATCTAAGAGTTGCTAAGTAGAAGTAACGTCACCTGTAACAAAAGTTACCCTATGTCGCTTTAATAAAACTTTAATAATAACAATTTAATAAAAGCTTTAATAAAACACTTCCGGAGTGTTTGCGTCATATTTTTTCATGAATTTTGCACTTCTTATTAAAGCTTTTAACATCTACTTATGTTTTAGAAGAGAAAAGCCATTTATGAGGAAGCCATATTAATATATTTTCTATGAAAAAGCATGAGCAATTAATAGAATGCAATTTACTGAAATGCTTCAGATCGAAAGATTTCAACGATTTTTCATTTAAATTTTCTATTGATAATGAAACCAATAGATGATAATCTCAATTAGTGGATCAATTGTATAGAAGGATTTGGATTATGTGGAGTTATTCAACAACTCCGCTAATTATTTCGATCCTAAGTTGTTTCAGAAATATTACATGAGCGGATTGAAATATTTTATTTCTGAAACAACTTAGGATCGAAATGATCTAAAATATGCATTTCGGCTGCCTCAAAGCAATATATAACTACTTTTGAAAAAGATAACAATTAATAATGCCAAGAAGTGTCTTCTTCGGGTTTCCCGTCATTTGTTAATATTATCACAGATATTCTACAGTTACGCAAGCAATTTAACCCATGATCATACAGCACTAAAAACATCACAAAAAATCAACGCGACAATGTCGAAAAACGGTCGCGTACGTTACCTATCGCATTCCATAGTGAACCGCTCCAACCCTGCAATAGAAACCACCAATACGTATATCTGATGTGTACATCATACATTTACTTGACTTTGAAACATCAACATCTCATATGATAAAACATTTAACATGATAAAACACCTCAAAACTCATTTTAATACCGTTTAGGTCACAGTTAAATTGAGAGTCATCAGAACAATATAGTGGGCATCATGGATGATATGAACGATCTGAATTTATTTCTGAACTCTTCCATGAAGGATCAAACTTTAATATTTTCAAAAATTCGGCAACCAACTTTTCCGTTTGATGGTGCTCGTCCGCCAGCGTGCGCATCGAGAACCTTCTGATATCGTAATTTGCAAGCAGCTTCAATGGTTTTAGCCATTGGACCTGCGGATGGTTCCACGTGAAATACATAGCACATGAAATTCTCCGACGATGTGCTCATTATAAACGCACAATGCCTGAAAAATGATCATAATAACTTTTTTAATAAATTAATAAAAAAATGATTTTGATCGTATTAAAAGCATGTTTTTTTCCTAAGGATTAGACTACCCAAAACAAACTATTGCACTTTCGTTGTAAGAACCGGAAGCATTTCGACAAGGCGGTGTTTCTGACTATGCTGTAAGCATCATTTTATAATTCACTGGAGAGCAGTACTCACAGTGTCATAAAAAATTCCTTTTGTGAAAACACGATGACGAACAAAACAGCTGTTTATATGGAATAAAACTTGTTCAATTCAGTAAGTCACCAGCGCAAAAAATTTAATAAATAGGTGGGATATTACACAAATGGAGATAGACTAAAGTTTTCGACCCATTAAATCCATCGGGAAAAAATAACTTACTTGATATCTCGTCCAATTCCCAAAAACGATAAATATCGCACTCTACACTGAGCAATTTGATTACCGTTCACTTCACTTATTATTATTGTTGATGGAGCTATGGAAACATTCGCTAATATGCACCTGTCTGATCGAACCTATAAAAACCAAAACATTGAGCACCTTCTAGCATTAATAAATTGTGAACTAGTGATAGAAATTCTCGTCCATTCTGCAAGACGATACCATTAGCCGCTGCTTTAAGGAAAAATTTCTAATCCGCTTACCATTTTCTTGGTTGTTCCTAAGCTATGCTTCCTTTCCAATCCTCAAAAAACAGATGAATAATTGGAATATATTACTATAAAGAATGTCGATATTATAATAGTCACTAAACCAGAGTTTCTAATTAAGACAATTAGATTGACGAAATATACGAACAGTTCAATTAAAAGGACATTCGGCTTTACTATTTCCTGTATTTACCTTAGCAGAAGGAAATGTACATTAATACATTACTAACCTGTGATACAAGTCGATCAACTGCTTCGTTCAGGACTTCAATACCTGTGGCTCGAGGCACCTGTGTAACACCCAGGAAATGACACCGAATAGTTTTCTTTGGCTCTTCGATTGGAGTTGGCAAATATGTGTCCTCTACAGATCAGTAAATATATTGCGCTATCATGTATTTCTGTTTTTTTGTTTCCATAAGCAAGTAAATAAATGAATAGATTTAAACTGACTAGCAATGAGCCTCCTTTCGCCATAATCCAAAGAGGACAGACTATTTGGTCGTCGCTGAAGCATCAGTCGTTTGCAGATATCACGTAAAGTATTTGCAATAGTTCGTGCCGGTGTGTCACATCGAAACACGTGACACATAAAACGACGCGAATTTCTATCTCGTGCAACGTATGCGAAATCTCTAAAACTTGCAAATGAGTTACTAAGAAAAATAAGATGAAATTTGGATAAGCATATAAGCATTGGAAAGCAAAAATAATAATATAGAGTGAGTAGTGCGTGTAGAAGAGAACATTATAAATGTGATATTTGACAATTTCAAGCACAAGAATGTAGCAACGCTTATGAACCAAAGGACAAAAAACATAAAAAGGGACGACTCGTAGCCAGGATGTCTTATGGTGAAAAATTATGATGATGACCCAATCTAATTACTTTTATGGCTTTTACATTGTTAATCGTATTTTCCCTATTTGGCAGTACTCACCGGAAAATAAAATTTTTTCAAGTACTAAATGCAAAATGAAAATTTCAAATTGTATACTTATTAGGCAGTCGTTGACATCAACGATGGATTATTAATGAAAATCTTGAATATTTAATGAGAGGGTAAATGTTTCGCAGAAACATTGCACTTCGTAGTTCCAACAGATAATGAAAATCAGGCTTAAAAGGTATATCCTGGCTGCGACTGCACATCAGTTTTTGGGTAAACGAGAATTAAACTAGGTATTATTAAAGTGAATAAGGGTCCGAACATAATTTGGTGAATAAGAAGCATCCAAAATTACCTGTCACTGCAGCAGTATTTAAAAAAAATCTTATGAATAAAAAAAGGAATCAAACAGTGGCAGATATTATCTGAGCTGATTCAAATTATTTCGCGCTGTAAATTCCTCCAAAAATTTCACTAATCCTCAAGATGGTAAAGTTTTAATATTTGTATATACTGCTATTCGATAAGTATATGTTATACTATAAATCACAGATTCTTGCTATTCCGCATATTATTAGCTATTCAACCGTTAGGATGCATGAGACACATGAAATAATGCCAATCGTTAAATTTCAAGTACACAACAAAATCTTTACTGTTTCATCCCATCTACAAACCTTCTATATATGGTACCCCAGAAAAAAAAACAAATCTTCATTCGTCTACTCGGAAGGCAAATCTTCACCTACCGGCCATTATCTCGCCCAACTCCCCAAACTCGAATGTGTTGCATTCGTTCAGTATGTACTACAGACATCGTATCAGGATCAACTAATGTCAAATCACTGTCGTCTAATTCCATTATGAGTTCTCGACCCTGAAAGCTATTCAATACGTTATTTAAATTAAAAATATATGCGACAGAAGTTACCGGAACTGAGAACGAATTCTAAGATTACTTAAACAAATTTGAATCACTAATTTTTTTGAAAGCTGAACTTCCTACTACTTACATCTCCCCACTTAGAAACATTATCCAGAATATCGTTTCGCCCTGTGCTCAGATCCACAATGGCTCTGTTAACGGCTCGCGAACTTTTTTCGGGCGTTAAATCTTCCTCTGGAATTTCGATCCAACCCAAAGATCGGACTGCAAATCGAACCGGCTAAAATGATAATGCATTTTCTAATTTTTTCCAATATATCTTTTCCAAGATCTAATCTGACTCAGCCGTAATTTCATCCTATAGCAATTCTCAGTATAATTTTTTAACGATACGGAAATTCAGATTCATCATCCTAAGGCATCAGCCATACCTCTTTTCACATGACCAACAAGTCCACGTCTACACATACTCTACTGCGAAATAATGAATAGTCCAAAATTCACAGCAAAGCAAACCATTAAAAATAATACTGCTTTAGTAACTTCAAGCTTACTGTAGAGACTTTAGTATAGTTTCTATTCCTCCAGTAGGAGTAGTTACAAATTCTTCTCTCCTACTATCTCACAGATTAAGATTTTTTTTGCAATATTTTTGATAAATTCTGCTCTGGTACATCTTTTGACAAGTTTTGATCTCTAAAATTACAAACAAAAAACCTCCTAATTATAAATTTATGCATTTACAAGCTAATAAATAAGAGGAAATAAATCCCTAATACTTGATCCATTTCCAAAAGCATTTAACAAAAAAACCAACTTTGCCTATAAAGTCATCATCTTTGCCGCTGAAATCATTATCAACAGATCGTTTTGTGGTAGTCTGTTTGAATGCATGCTCTTCGATAATCGGTTGTTGTGGTGGGAGCTGCACAATTTGCTGGACTGATGACAGTGCTGGCAATGCATCTGCCTGAGTCTCTTGATCACGAAGCTTAGGTTGCATAGATATTGGTACAAAGGGTAATTCCTTACGCTGAAAAAAATTTCCATAAAGCTAATTTCATAAAGAAACTATTGCATCAAAGCCATCGAGAGCACACTAGAAGGCTCCAGTCTATGATCTGAACAAGAAATCGATATCTTAGCTAGCCAATAAATGAAATTGTGTCGGATGCTTCGAGGAAGAAACTTCGTCCTGTTTTAACACTCCATAACTTATATGAAGGTGTTTAGAGGAAATAAGTCACCATATATACTGGATATTTCTTGTCTTGTAAAAGTTAGATTTTAAGCATAACATGGTGTTAATAGTGAATCTAAGTATTGCAACCGAATTGCTATATCTATACCGGAGGCTCTCTCTGTATCGTGCCACTATCCACGTGCCAATAATATGAAAAACCGGATGGATCTGAAAAACAACAGCATTAATTAGCATTATCTTTAACACCATTGAACTCATAAAAATCATACAATGTAAAGATAAAGACAACATTCTTAGCTTGTCTAAATTCAGAAAGTAGAAGTTCACATCTTGAATCCTTCTACGAATTACTCGATGACAAGATATTGGACAAGAAGTGAGAGTGAATCAAAATATGTCAAAAAAGCATGCATGCCTTCGTGTTTTTCCCACCCAACCGGAAGTGGCTTTGCGAACTGAGCATCATCAGGTCGCATAGGCCTACTGTATTGTACTTCGACGTTTATTCCGCTATCATGACTGTCTGGAGAGAGAACTGCATCATTTATGATTTCTTCGTCGATGACGTAATCTGTCTGTGGTAGTGGCCTGGAATGAACGATTGCTCAGCAAATTAGGCAGGAAAGTTAGAAATTAAATAAGAAAATAACTTGAAATGAATTACTCAGTTCCTGAATTTTTCTACTAATATCATAACAAAACCATCCACTTCTAAAAAAGTATATCATAACAAAATCATCTACTTCTAAAACAGTATAGAAGAAAAACTGAAATAGCTTAGTCCAAGTTCTAAAATTAGAGAGATGTCATCTGTGAGCTATTAATGATGAGTTGACTCTACTGGATGCGGTTCCAAATAAAAAATACTTCGTTAAGAGTGTTTACAAATTAAATATATGGTCGGGATTAAAAGAAGAAAGAATAGTTAATCCGAATTGTTTTCCATTCGCAATATCGAAACGACCAGCAGAATCACTTATTACGGCTAGCTCGAAAGATTCACCAAATTATAGACAATACCATAATCAGCGTGATCAAATATATGAGACAAGTCAATAGACTAGCATTTTAGAATCTCTCTGCTGAGATAAAAAAGACAGCTGATATCTACTTGCACAAAAATGACTTTGAAAAACATACAATTTAGAAACTTTGCTAAGTAAATGGAATTATCCAACAGAAAAATACGTCGAGTCAGTCAATTTTGTTCGTTCGTTTTTTGAATGGTATGTTCAATCTTGACCGTCAATTCTCAGCTAATTCGACAAATTTTAACCTCTAACTGCTACTTTTTTGCGGAAAATATAACTGTATTTGGAAGAGCTGCAGCATCTAACCACCAAAAGAGCCGCCAACAATTCAAGTTTGTCATTTAAATCCTTGGATAAAGCACTCATTAATTAATGAGCATAAGTAGAGATTCAATAAAAAGATCGAAAATGGACCAACTTAGGTGTTTCTTCCTCTCGAGGTCTTGCTTGATCTAATTGCCAATAGAATGAATAAGGATCACGATATTCAGTGACCACCGTGGTATCGCCATGACGTCGAATGTGTATATTGTCACGCGCAGCAGCATCTATAAGAGCACGTGATTCGTGAAAATCGTGCGCACTGTAATCAACAGACATATGAATATTTTTCTCCTTCAGATATCTGCGATTTTGTTCGGTTTGGTCAAGATCCTCCTGTTGATGAGTCGGTCGATATTTGATGATTTTCCTCACCTGGAATTCATAATATATTTACATTCTTAGCCCTGGTTTAGTGCAAATATTACAAGAGAATTACGATGAAAGAATGATAGTTAAGAAGTTTAGTTTTGGTTAATGCCTTTTTGTTTAAAATTGAAGGGAAATGACATTTGAAGAATGATAAAATGTAGGGAATTGGGGAAATATCTCCAACAACACTGGATAAGTTGAAGGAATGGATCACCCAAAAATTCCCAATAAATGATTTCTCCATGATAAGCTTGATCATACAACCATAAAGATACCACGTACACCAGAGAGTAGTGAACAAGGTTGAAAATGAACCAATTTCAGCCAATGTTTACATCTCCCCCGTACCCGGATGTCCGGCTACTCTATTCGTAAACCGAGCATCATACTACGGGTCACAGTTAAGCAATGCAAGCGGCTAATCTGGAAGGCACAACTTAGAAACCATGTTGACAACGCAGCAATGGTAAAAGTAGCAGTAATGGCTTCTTGCACTATTGCTCGTGTCGCGTACTGTAATCTGCATTGAGGCGATGACAAGTGCCTTGATGCCGCCGGGACCTTAGGGCCCAGCCACAATCTTCTTTTGAAGATTGTCTTTTACTTGCTCAGGCTTAGTGCACTCTGTAAGTCAAGAAGACGGATATCAGAGTGATGGTTTCGTCGAAGAAAGCTCATGGAAGATTAATACTGCTTCGATGGCTATTTATTTAGAATGAATTTAACCTTGTTGCTGGTGTTTGCTATAACCTTCTTCCCTGTGCTTTAATCTTAAGTCGGCCTGATGATAATTTGTCGGATGTTCTTTTCCGCCCCTATCTCTGTATCGATGATGCTGCAATACAATACGCACACCCATCTATACTTCATATTAACCACGAAGAAAGTCGAGTGATAAACTACGCGCATGCTGTTAAAATAAACTATAATATTGTGATTTGAAACGGCTGAGAGATACCGATACAGACATACCCACTAGGTACGAGATATACTAATACTGGGGAAGACATGTAAATGGGTAATGGATGTTCTAGTATGTATCGGTCTACTGCTAATGGTATGATAGATTGATTAACGTCCCTATTTGCATAATGACCCATCTACTGTACTGAAGAAAGAAATTGAATTTCTATGAGAAAGAGAAACAGAGAAAGGGAGAGAGAGAAGGAAAGAGAGGGAGAAAGAATCTAATAATGATAAGATAGAAGATGAATAGTAGTGTAATCGTAGTACGCTAGAAAATGTTGTTGGAGGAGCTAACGAGGAGCTGCTTAACTGTCTACTTCCGCCCATAGATGTTCACAATTTGAGATGTCTGTTTATCTGCGATGGTTCGATTTTTTTAACTTGGCTTTTCTTTGCTTGTTCATATCTGCATGACAAGTAAACAACGTTACAAGTAAATAACTAGCCTTATAAGTAAACAGCCAATTTTACTTCTTAATAACTAACGTTATAAGTAAACAATCAGGTTGTGAGTAAACAACTAGCATTGTAAGTATACAATCAATGTTATGAGTAGAGGAGTATCTCACTCACTAAACAAGTAGGCAAATCGATGATGATTAGCAAGAAAAAAAGAATTGGAAGGATGAGAGGAGAAGACGTACTAGCCGGAGAGGAACGGTAAGAAGGGATTAGAGTGGAGCGTGCAATGGCACTTTCTCACCACCAGGGCTACCTTAGGTAACTCGGTAATTTCTCATCTAATTAGGCATCATCCTATCCCTCCTTAGCTATGGCATGCAAGATATCTCCTCCCAGAAAATGTGAAGTATCTAGTTTGTTCTAATTTCTGAACAAATTATAAAATCTGCTCTTCTTTCACCAAAGACATTTCTTCATTAGAGATGGAAATAGAAGATTATAAAAAACCCCGGGAGAAATTGTTTTTTTTTTTCGAATTCTCGGGATATTGGTCCATAAATTGATTATTCTCCATTTCCTTCTTCCCTTCATTTATTATATCAACATTTTGGAGATTCTTTTGCAATGTACGCCCTATGATATTTCTTCATTTATTATTAATGACTGCTAATTGGCCAACAGTATTCTTACAAAGATACTGACCATATTGGAAATATTTTCCTTTGAAAATTTGCTTTCGTTATAATAGTAATTAGCATCCGCTTGGTTGTTTTTGGCTATATAATTCATTTACTTTGCTGAGGTTACGATAAGTTTTGCTTCTTCAGATACTCTTTATGAATTTTAACTGCCGAAATGAGTACTCTCTCACCTTTTTTTCACACAATCTATTTCAGCATATTCCAATTCACTTCCGTTTATTCTCCATAAACAGAAAAACTCGTCATTGATCCTATCAGACCAATGAACGATTTCGGATTTCGGCACAAGTAATTTACTTGTACATCTTCCTAATCATCAGATGGTATAATATTAGCAATCGTGGTAGTATTAGGCCTAGTTGACGTTTTCGTTTCGATGTAATTGCACTCTTCGTGTTTACGCTGCTCTTCTATTTCATGCCTAAGTAAAAGATCTTATGGTGAAAAAAAAAAGTAATTTCCAGACTGTAAATCGTATTACAAGGACCGGATAGTAAGTATACTTGTCTCATACCTTTCCATTTTTTCATCCTCGACAACAATTTCTTCAAATATTCCTGTTAACATGAGGCGTTCTTTTGTTTTTAGCAGGTATTGGCATGTTGGAGAAGTTAGCATAAACTGATCTATGGAAAAATTTTCTTCAGTTATTTAAAAATAGTTTGTGCAAGTGTTTAGAATAGATTTGTTACGCCGATGATCACTTATAAACTTCATTCGTCGGAATAAGAAAAGAGATGAGACTTTGCAATTGAGGTAATTGTAAGAACGTGTTTCTATGAATTACTTCAAACATCATAAGCAAATGTTGAAGCTTCGATAAGAAACACAAGATGCACACGTACACATATGAGCAATCATCTCTCCTTCAAATCTGTCAGTAATCTCCGCCTGTTTTGTCAAGTAGGCGACACGTTCCTTACAGTAATAGATATATCTTACATGGTTTGGTTCAACGGTATTGCAGAACTGCTGTTCATAACCACTCTTCTATCAATAGTGATGCACTCGACGAATTCTTACATGACAAAAAGTACCACCTACCTCCCAATTACTTCGGTGTCTTCGTTGCTTCCTTTTGATAGGTACAGTTGTACTTAGAAGATATTTCGATCGAAATATCTTCTAATCTCTCATGTTAAATTTTTATTCAGTGTTCAAAGATTACGCCTTAATCATCAAATTAGTCACGAAGGAGACGACAAATACTATCACATACTAATGGCACTAAATTTGATAGGGATTTGATGTTCAGTAGGTATAACGTGACTGAATCAGTCCGTATCGTTCAGCGAGGAATAGTTGACGTACAACTAAGTGGTATCAATTTCACTGTTTGCTTCTTATCGTGCCATCTGATTAGAAATAGCTCACAAAAATAAAAATAATAAATTGTCTTATCAATTGGATAAGCAAAATAAATTGGAATAGAAAATATATTATTTCTTAAACATTTACAGCTAACTGAAATATATTCCAATATAATTTAATACAAATGA